AGAATATACCCACTATCTATAAAAAATGACTGAAGAACAATTCCCCATGGTGTTCCATTGTTTTTTTTTTTAGTTGTGGTAAAATATACATAATGTGAAATTTACGATTTCAGACATTTTTAAATGTACGATTTGGCGGTATTAAGTACATTCCCAGTGTTATGCAACCATCACCAATATCCGTCTCAACTTTTCCTCATCCGAAACAAACTCTGCATCCTGAAACAGTAACTTCCCATTCCCTCCTCCCAGCAGACACTGGTAATCTCCATTCTACTTTCTGTCTGTTTGAATTTGCCCGTCTTAGGCTCTCATATAAATGGATTTACCTAATATTTGTCCTTTTGTATCTGACATTTAACTTAATGTCTTCAATGTTCACCCATGTGGTAGCATGTGTCACAATGTCATTCCTTTTTAAGGCTGAGTAAATCCTGTTGCATATATGACATTTTGTTTATCCATTTATCTGTTGATGGACATTTGGGTTGTTTCCACCTTTTGGCTGTTATAAATAATGCTGCTGTCAGTATTGGTGTCTGTTTGAGCCCCTCCTTTCAGTTCTTTTGGGTGCATACCTACAAGTGGAATTGCTGGATCACGTAGTAATTCTGTGTTTAATATTTTGAGTAACAACCAAAGCATTTTCCATAGTAGTTATACCATTTTATGCTCCTTTATGCACCATTTTATGCTCCTTTATGCACCATTTTATTTGTTACTTTGTTAAATTTGTTATTGATGTAAAGTTGAATTACAGTGTTTATTTTGTTTTGTTTTTATAATAGCCATTCTAATGGGTGTGAAGTGGTATCTTATTGTGGTTTTGAATTGCATTTCCCTGGTTAGTGATGTTGAGCATCATTTACTGTATTTTTCATTGGGCATTTGTATATCTTTTTGGAGTTAAGTCCTTTGTTCATTTTAAATTGGTTTGGTTTGTTTGTTTTTGAGCTGTAGGAATTCTTTATATATTTTGACTATTAATTCCCTACCTGATATATGATTTGCAAATATTTTTTCTCATTCTGTAGATTTCCTTTTCACTCTCTTGATAGTGACACACACGTTTTTTATTTTGATGAAGTCAAATTGATCTGTTTTTTTCTTTTGCTGTCTGTGCTTCTAGTATCATATCTAATAAATCACTGCCAAGTGCAATGTTATGAAAACTTTACCCCATGTTTGCTTCTAAGAGTTTTGTTGTTTTAGTTCTTTGTTCCATTTTGAATTAATTTTTGTGTATAATATAAGAACTCAAATTTATTCTTTTACATGTGGATATCCAGTTTTCCTAGCACTACTTGTTGGAAAGGCTGAACTTTCCCCATTGAATGGTCTTGACACTTTTGTGGAAAATCAACTGACCACATTTAAAAACCTTTCCATTCTATTTTTGAGCATCAGTTGGCTTGAAAGAATTCGTCTCTGATAGTGCTGAAAAATTATTACCTAGAGCAGCAAACATATTTTCTTGAATAAATATCTTTTCAGTCTATTTACTCTGAATGAGAATATCTCTAACATACTTTTATCCATTTTTTATTGATATTTATTTGTTAATGGTGCTATCATTTTACATTTAAATCCTTTATCTCCCTGCAAGGTAAATTGTGACTTCTTCACGGAATAATCCTGAAATTTTCAGATGAGTACTTGGAAGGGTCTAGGATTTTTGTAAGACTGTGACCTTGGACTGTGGCAGAGAAGGAGGCATAGAGCAGCTCATGTCTTGTTCTGTTGGAAATTGACACCAAATGGCTCTGCTATAAATGTAATTTCTATGGCACTGATGTCATGATGACTGCATATGCCTTTACTCCTTGGGGGCATATTTTCAGCATCTGAAAATCCATGTTTATTATACTTTAAAGTTTTTAGATTGTTTACACAAATGATGTTCTTACATGGTTTTTTAGACCACCCTACGAAGTAAGCCAGTTAGGTCTATCTGTCTATAGTTTTATCTGACCTGCCTCTTGAGAAACCTGAATGCAGGTCAGGAAGCAACAGTTAGAACTGGACATGGAACAACAGACTGGTTCCAAATAGGAAAAAGTGTTCGTCAAGGCTGTATATTGTCACCCTGCTTATTTAATTTATATGCAGAGTACATCATGAGAAATGCTGGGCTGGAAAAAGCACAAGCTGGAATCAAGATTGCCAGGAGAAATATCAATAACCTCAGATATGCAGATGACACCACCTTTATGGCAGAAAGTGAAGAACAAAAAAGCCTCCTGATGAAAGTGAAAGAGGAGAGTGAAAAAGTTGGCTTAAAGCTTAACATTCAGAAAACTAAGATCATGGCATCTGGTCCCATCATCTCATGGGAAATAGATGGGAAGACAGTGGAAACAGTGTCAGACTTTATTTTTTTGGGCTCCAAAATCACTGCGGATGGTGACTGCAGCCATGAAATTAAAAGATGCTTACTCCTTGGAAGGAAAGTTATGACCAACCTAGACAGCATATTAAAAAGCAGAGACATTACTTTGCCAACAAAGGTCCATCTGGTCAAGGCTATGGTTTTTCCAGTGGTCATGTATGGATGTGAGAGTTGGACTGTGAAGACAGCTGAGTGCCAAAAAACTGATGCTTTTGAACTGTGGTGCTGGAGAAGACTCTTGAGAGTCCCTTGGACTGCAAGGAGATCCAACCAGTTCATCCTAAAGGAGATCAGTCCTGGAAGTTCATTGGAAGGACTGATGCTGAAGCTGAAACTCCAGTACTTTGGTCACTTCATGCGAAGAGTTGACTCATTGGAAAAGATCCTGATGCTGGGAGGGATTGGGGGCAGGAGGAGAAGGGGACGACAGAGGATGAGATGGCTGGATGGCATCACCAACTCAATGGGCATGATTTTGAGTAAACTTCAGGAGTTGGTGATGGACAGGGAGGCCTGGCATGCTGCAGTCCATGGGGTCGCCAAGAATCGGACACGACTGAGCGACTGAACTGAACTGAACTAAACTGATGTGTCTACCTATCTATGTATCTATCTGTTAGATCATACCCAAATCTCACAGCCAGTCAAGGGAGGACCTGGAACATGTGTTCTGAAGTCCGACTCTGAGGTTTTTCTTTCCATGCATGCCCAGAATATGGCACCTGCTCTTCTGAATGAAATCATTTCTAGACATGAAATGTTGACTGTCTTCTCCTTCCTGACTATGGAACAATGAGTGTCAGGCAGAATGAGAGATGTACCCTAAGTGCAATATTTCTCAATACTTTCCCATTATAAATGGCAGGCCAAGAACTACCCCCCCCCCCAAAAAAAAATTCAGAATAATGATAGTAAAGATGAGAAAAAACTCTGCCAAAAAAAAAAAACACCAAAAAACTTTAACCATGTAGAAGGAAAGATCTCTGGCTCTGGCCTTCTCCCCATGAGATTTCTGGTTTTACAGGGAGATGGAAGGCAGTGGGATTTTCGCGCTCATGAATCATATCACACGCTGAAGGCAGAAGGTCCCCGCTGGGAACAACCCTCTCATCTCCCAGATGAATAAACCCAGGTCCAGGGAAGGGAAGGATTTCCTCCTGGTCAAGCTGCTGGCAGAGGGCAGAGCTGGCAGTGGCCCCACCCTTCTGGTCCTAATCGGAGCCCTTTCTGGCATGCACTCTGCACTCCTGTTTCATAGCTCCCTTCTCCGGCTCCTCATTTCTGCAAATGGGCTGTCATTATTTTTAGATACCAGGATGAATCCCCAGTCATCTTGAATAAAAAGTATGAACCTAGACTAGTTCACGAAATTGTCCTGAATCTTTTTTTTTTTTTCCCATAAAGGAGAACAATTTAAATCTTGGGCATAGTAAGTTTATGCAAATAGAAGAAAAAACTGCCTCATTTGACAGGCTATCTACCGTGATTAATACAATCATTATAAATAAGTAATTTCTTTTTGACCATGCAACATGGCTTGCCAGACCAGGGATTAAACCTGGGCCATGGTAGTGAAAGTGCTGAGTCCTGAGACGACCAGAGAATTCTCTAAGCTACTAATTAATAAAAGGATATAATATCAAGATCAGAAGGAATCCAAGAAGACATAATTTACTGACTAATCGCCTGATACATTTATTTTTATGTTTCCTTGTACGCATTTTTGAGTATGTGCCAAGCATGGTGATTTGTGCTGTGGATGCATAGTGATGGGCAAACCTTTGTCCAAGTCCTTCCCTCCACCAAAAGCCCTTTGAAATGCAGATGTCCACAAGAGGCCAATGGAATGAGCTGCTGATTCATGAGTGAAGCCAAACCAACACAGATATTGATCATACAGGTCAAGTTTCTTTGGGATTTTGAGACCTGAGGTTGACTTATCTATTGTTCAACTGGTTTTACTGGTCAGAGGCTTCCTCCTCTCTATGGTGGGAAGGACTGCTTTCCTGGAAGCTTCTGTTTGCTGTGCATCTGAAGATGCCTTTAAGGATGCTTCGCATAGTTAGGGAGGGTGGGTGATACCGACTCCTTGAATGAGACACCTTGGCCACGTGGCCTCCGTTATCAGACAGCAAGTCAGTTCAGCCTCTGGAAGAGATTCACCCACATTCATTCACAGCATCCCAACTCTTGCTTCAGAGTCTCACCTTAGCGAGGGTAGGGGTTGTGGTGAAGTGGGATGGTAGGGAGGACTGGATAGGAGAGAGTCAAGTCACAGCTGGCTAAAATGTGGGCCTCTTCAGGTAATTATAGGGGCAAAGGGACCCTCTGCTCTGATGGATCGTGTCATCAGTCCAGGCCTGGAAGGGACACAGAGATTTCATCAAATCTATTCCAAGGCTTCTAAGCAGGATTGCATTACCAGCCATACACCCATCCCTAGGAGGAAGCTGTCTGCTCTTTCTAAAAATATCTTGAGATTTCATTAACACATTGTCCCTTTTAATATACACCACTGTCTTACTATCACCCTAGGGAAGAGTTTTTTTTTTTTTCCTTTTGTCTAATCTAATTCCTTACAGCTGCAGTTTCTTCTGTTTTTTTCTTGTAGTTCAGCAGCTATGAAGAGACACTAGCCGGCCACCCGTGCAGCGTTCCTTTGTGGCAGACAATGGCACTTGGGAAATGCCACACGCATTAGAAGCAGACGCGGATTGTCTGAGGAGCCTGTGCAATGGAAACTCCAACTGAAATCGCACAGAATCACGAACATTCTACTTCAAGGGGCTGGAAGAGGGGGGAGGAAGAAAAAGCCTGAGTATCATTTTCCAACAGGCCTGGGCTGCTATAAATACGTGCACGGCTGCAGCGACAGCATGGGTGGGTGAGAGCTGTGTGGGTGCCTGGCGAGCTCTGCTTGGGCCAGCTCCCTGCCTCGTCTTCGGCAGAACTCAGTGCTGGAGGGTTGACTTCGTACGGGGGGAGTCTGAGGTCCCTATTTCCATTGTGCACCCCTGGTTTCTGGAAGAGATGGTGGTCTCTGCTGATTCAACAGCGGTGGGGGCTGTTCACGTGGCGGATGTGGGCTCTGGTTGGTTGGGGGGATGGAGCGGGGCCTCCAGGACCTCATCCTGTTTTGCTTTGCAGAAGCATCAGAGGGCTGGGAAAGAAGCTGTGAAGTACACATGCTGACTGCCACAGTTTAACAGATGAGGAAACAGAGGCAGCAAGAGAGAGAGTCACACAGAGAGATAAAGGTTATCAAGAATTATTTGGTTGTTTGCAGGAGAAACCCACTGGGACAAGGTTGGGGTTATGACAAGGCTAAGGCTGCAGGGTAGGAAGTGCACAGGGCTTCAAAAGAGACTGGGACCAGGATCTTAAACCTTTAGAAATGGAGATTTTTTTTTCTCTTCTTCTTCTTTTTTAAAGTATTTACTTATTTGGCTTCACCTGGTCTTAGCTGTGGCATGTGGGATCCAGTTCCCTGACCAGGAATTGATCCCTGGGCCCCCTGCATTGGGATCTTGGAGTTTTAGCCACAGGACCGCTAAGGAAGTCCCCAAACTGAGATTCCTTATTCTCATTCTTCCTCTCTCTCGGGCCAGCCTCAGGCAGAGTCCTTTGTCCTTCCACCAGTTGAGGTCTCTGACTTGTAAGCGTGGAAGAATAGAAATGGCAGAGCCAGAGTATACAGTTGGCGGGTGGCCTGCTCTACAGTTTCTTGAGTGGAAGTGGCAGTGATATAAACTATGATGTGTACAAAATTGTGTAATGCCCACCTGCACACTCATGCCCTGGCAGTGGTCCACTTGGTACCAGGATTCTAAATGCAAAATGTTGCTGAGAATTCTCACCACAGTCTAGGAAACCCAGGACCCCTACCTTCCTGGCCAGTAAAGCTTAAGAGCCAGGGATCTGGGTCAGAGACTCTGGGTTTGAACTGAAACTCTGGGTTTGCCACTTCTCAGCAATGGGGCTTTAGACAAATAAAATACAGTAAGTGTTCAAGAAGTGTAAGCTAGTTCATCATTACCGTTCTTACTGCCATAGTAATCTCGTCCTCGTCTTTGACCCCACGTTTCTGGCTCTAGTTCTCCCTCCAGATGCAGTGGCACATTTCTGGCTCCAAGATGCATCTCCTGACCTTACTCCCCTTTCCACTTCAGCTTGTCCTTATTTGATACAGGACATAGGAATTCCTTTTCATAAAACTCATCACCAACCTTCTCTATAGTTGCTGTGCCTATGTGCATGCTAAGTCACTTCAGTTGCATCCTACTCTTTGCGACCCAGTGGACAGTAGTCCACCAGGCTCCTCTGTCCATGGAATATCCCAGGCAAGAATACTGGAGTGGGTTGTCATGTCCTCCTCCAGGGGATCTTCCCGACTCAGGTATCAAACCATCTCTTACGTCTCTGGCTTTGATAGGCCGGTTCTTTACTAGTAGCACCACCTGGGAAGCCCCTATAGCTGCCTAATGTCTTTTTATGGAAAAATATTTTAACAACATTTTTGAATGATAAATCCAAACAGGAACCAGCCATTGAAGAAATGGACCAAATCTAAAACATCTCACAAGGAGTCCGCTCCTTGGTGCAATTGACCAATGTGTCTGAGCGGTGAAACTAAGCTGAGGTCCACTGGGAATTTTTCGCTTGTTTTTCGGTGAGTCTAGCAGAGAGTCTACTCCAAGTATTTCTGAGCCTATTTGATGCTATTTTGATTTCCTTCACATGTGGAATTTATTCCTATTCTTAAGCACTCGCACGAGCACCTGGGGGTATTTGCACGTGTTTTCAAGGAACCAACTGTAGTGTATTAACAGATCTTTGCACGTGCTTTCCAGAGCACTCAGATCCAGCTGACCCTCCGGCTCAGTCTCCATACCCTGCATAATCTCCAGCCTGGGCTGTGCTGACCACACCTCTCTGGAAAACTTGGACCAAGGAACAAATCCAGTTCAGGATCACCCGATCCCACCAGCAGCGGCAGGTCTCTATTAGTGGGTGAGCCACACAAATTAAATGTGGATGCCAGAAAGGGGGTTCTCAGAAAAGTTTTAATTGGAAGAATACAGCACAAACGTACATGATTAAAAGCATTGCCTGGAGTTCCTGAACAGGGTAGAATTTTTTTTTTTTAAACCCAAAGCCTGGTCCTTCTCTGCTGATTAAAGGATACATCTTGTCAAGCTGCACAGTGGTGGTGGTGTGACGGCCTAATGCCTGAGTGTGAACAAAAAAATCCGAGGCTCAGACCCCACTCACTCTGCTCTTCCAGTTGATCCAACAAAGCCTTCCGACGTGATAGTATCCCAGGCCCAGGAAAGGAGAAACAGTTTCCCACCCAGGTCTCGGGAAGGTGGTGGGCAGTGTCTTGCAGAGATGCTCTCAGTGGTACAAGAAAGCCTCTCAAAACTCTCCCAAACCCTAAAAGATTCAGCCCAAATTAAGGACTTTGTTAGCAGCGGATTGCCAAAGCTTTTCCTCCTTTTATTTCTTCTGTTGACTTGCCACAAGCTGCACAAAAGGAACCTATTTCTCCTTCTGCCCACAGATTCCCGCCTCAGAAGCCTTTCCAAGAAATCATCCAGTTCTTTCTCAAATGTAAGGGCTTTCATTCTCTGTCCTTTGTGCTGTTTATCTTGGTAATTTCTTTCCATTTTTAGTTTTTTTTTTTTTTCCTACCTACCCAAAGTTAAGCACATGGTTTACAATGAGAGGAAGATTGTGCCATCTCAATGCTGTGACCAAGCCAAACAGGTTCCAGGCCTTACTCTTTGTAAGCATGCGCAGCAGAGGAAAAGGTATTTATTTAAGGTTAAGGACAAATCGTCCATAGTTGGAATGATTAATCACCTCCCAGTTTGTGAAAAATGATGGGGCTAGGATGCAGAATTTGTAGGGAGCTGAAAGGTTGAATTACATGCTAGCAGGTGAGGTGGGAGCCTGCGAAAAATGAATATATTTCCATGGTGAGTCCGTATGTGGAACATCTAAAGACACAGCTACTCTGCAAAAATATATCAGGAAAACATTACCCTATCTGCACCCACAGTAACTTCTCTGTTATTAGTTTCTTTAACAAACAATCCAGGCAAACTCAGGTTTTCTTAGTTTCTTTTACAATGTTATATACCCTTGAAATGTCACCTAAAGGTATTTTGCTAACAGATCATAGAAATAAATGGAAAATCTCTTAAACACGGCTCCAAAAAAGTCCCATGCTGCAACATGTACAGAATAAAAGCTCTACCTGTGACCACTTTCCAACTGAAGGTGGTGGCTTGTTATGCAAATAAAATCGATTTTGAATTGGTTCTGCTGAAAACTGCAAACAGGCCAAGAGTAAACACGGCACACCTTCAAGCTGGCTCGTATACATCTTGTCAGAGTGGAGGATATCGTGGTACGACTGATCACATAGAAGCCAGTGATCCTGAAGTGTAGAGAAGGAAAGTGGAGAGAGACTTCAGATCTGTCTGTCCGGGTCTATAAGAGGAGCATCTGCTTATGAATTTGATCAAAGACCGATATCCTGGAGCAAATGACCCCTTTTCCTGTTCCCTCCTAGGGAGTCATTCTGGACACTTCCACAAGTCTTCATTTCTACATCTAATTGGCCAGCAGAACCTGTAGAACCCACCTCTCAGTAGAACCGCCTCCTTCCCACCTCACCTGCCATGGCCTTAGGCCTGGCCTGTGGCATCTCTTCCTTCACTCGAGCAGCCAGCTTGCACCTCTCCTCTCCAGCCCCTGCTCTAGCATCGCTGGCTTTACCTGCCAAGCAGAGCTTTCTGGAATACAAAGCTACATGCCATTGGACTGCTTAAGAGCCTTCAGTGGGTTCCGGTTCTTGCAAAGGTGAATTAAGCGCACACCACCTCCATGTCTGCCAGTGACTACAGTTAAAAGTCCCTGGAGAAAATGGATTAAGTAGCTCCTGGAGGATGCAGAGAAGTAAAATGATAGCAAGCAGACTGGGGGGAAAGGAAAGCAGTACTCCAAGTATCACGGAACCAGGAGCAGATGCAGTCACAAGAAGAGAGTGACAGAACAGGGAGACGAAAGCACCGGATTTCTAGCCAGTGGACCAGCTTGGGAGCTGGAAAGTTCCAGGGAGGTCAAGGTAGCAATCCTATTAAGTTGTGTATGAACCTCTGGCTCATCCTCGAGCTGCACACGCATAGACTAACTCCAACTTCTGAACGTGTAAAATGAACAAGATTTTGGGGGCTGAAGATGTTTGAAAGACCTGCCATGAAAACTGTCCAGTAAGAAATTCTTAGAAAGACAAAAGATTGTTAAGGATACATCTAAAATTTAAGTTGAAGCCATTTTGCTATTTTTAACAGGACGCCTTCAAAATAGGTTTTATCACTACCCCTTTCTCATCCACCATCCTTCTGTAAAAAGCTTTCATCGCTTGCCATCCTTGTGTGAGGGGGAAAATCAAGGAAAAGTAGTGATTTTGTGTGTGTGTGTGGCTAAGATGGCAAACCAATGAAGAGTCCTGCTCACCCTTCCACAGCACAGCGCTATTGCTGAGAATCAGTCGCTCCATCAAGAACCCATTTCTCAGCCCCTCTTGATTCCAGGTAGGACAATGTGGTTGGCTGGTGGTCACCAAAGGAAGGTAAGCAAAAGTTGTTGTTCAGGCCCTCAGTCGTGCCCTCTCGACTCTTGAACCACAGCCAGGCTTCCCTGTCCTTCACCATCACCCAGAGTTTGTTCAAACTCGAGTCCATTGAATGAGCAAAAGTGATGCATCTGAATTCCCAGAAGGCAGCTAGAAAGCATCTGTGTCTTCTTTGATCTACTACCTGCTCTCCCAACTGGATGTAGATGTCTCCTTGAACCTGGGAGAGGGAAGGAGTCCTTGCTTATCACAGGGAGAAAAACCGCCTGCCAGCTGGAAACATTCACCTTTGACTATTGAGCGAAAAGTAAATCCTCATCTATAGACTTTGTTCCATGGTAGTTAGCATGACCCTGAGCATAACAATTGTGCACTTGGGTGAGTCAGTGTCACTGCTGGCAAAGAAGAGCTTGAGGGTAGGGGAGAAGAAAGCATGTGAAACCAAGGTTTCCATTCAGGCCAGAAGGAGCCTTTAAGATTGAGAGCCTTGGAAACACACGGACGCTTTGATGTGGGCATAGGGCTGCCTGCTAGACATGGCCTAGGGAGTTGCGGCTGATTTTACGTAAACCTCCATGGACAGGGTGGCCTCAGCTGATCGCTCTCCTCTGCGGCTTTTTGACAGCAGGATGCAGTGCTTTGCATTTCGAAGCTGTCTTAATACCTGGGGTACAGAAGGACTCTCTCAAAAGATGTTTAGTGTCAACGATATTCTGCTGTAAATGCTTATGCAGAATAAAAGATCCTTTCAGACAGTGAATAAGCATTGCCTAATGTGTCCATTTCACTAAGCTTAGATTTTTATGTGCCACTCTTTAAAAAAGTGGGACTCACCAGAAATGGGCCAAAATCCCATTTTAAGGACAAATATAAGTGAACCTTCTTTCTTCTCAAACTTCGGCCCCAAGAACTCGGGACAGGGATGGATCCAGGGAGATATATAGTCTTCTCTTTTGCAGCTTCCTTTTCTGAAGGACTGTTTAAAGAGTTCCTTCTCTTTGCCTTTGACAACTGATTCACACGTAGGGGATTAATTTTGGGGTGGGAGCTGTGGACCAGCCCACGCTCCCACAGTCACCTGAGAAGGCACTGAATTCGGTTCCCGGGGTTCAGAGAGGAAACGGGTGTCACATGCTTGGAACTGGAGGACAGGCACTGACCTGGGAGCAGAGAAGGGGAGCAGGGTGAGCCTGAGATCTGATCATCATGTGAGTGCACGCTAAGTCGCTTCAGTCGTGTCCGACTCTTTGCAACCCTATTGACCATAGCCTGCCAGGCTCCTCTGTCCATGGGATTCTCCAGGCCAGAATACTGGAGTGGGTTGCCATACTCTCCTCCAGGGGATCTTCCCAACCCAGGGACCGAACTCACCTCTCTTATGTCTCCAACCATACTAGACTCTCCCTGACATAGCCTGGACGCACGCTGGCCACACAGGAGTGGGGCTGACCCAACCTCACCTGCTGGCTGCAAGGCTCCTGGCTCCCTCAGAGGCCTGTGCTCGGATTGGGTGACTCATGGTGGTAGGGCATACGCAGGACTGACATAACCTCTGCGGGCTTCCTTTAGTTTCTGGGTGCGTTCTCCACGTTACCGGAGCGTCTCTGTTTCCGTGGCTGACCTCGAGCCGCCCCCAGACAGCATCACTTGAGTGATCGCTTCACATCTCTGTGGCCAAGAACTCGTGTCCCTGTGTTTCTGAAGAGGCACATTATTTTTTACCATGTGGTAGAACAGGAAGTTCCTCTGTCCCCCTCCTCCTCTGTGAACCCTTACGTAAGCCTGTTTCTTCAGCCTCTCCCTTTCCTTTCCCCTGACTTCCCATCTAAGGCATCTCTGCCTGAGCCATTGAGCCCCCTCAGCTCTGGTGTCCTCCTTGTTTATTCTGCTCCCCTGTCTACCTCATTCCAACTTGATGCTCCTAATTTCTAAAATGTTAAGTGGATGACCATCTCATGGGGTCCACAAACCAAGATGTAAACCTTGATGAGTAAGCAGGCTTTACTATTGATAAATATCTATTTGTCGTGATAGGAACTAGTGAATTTGCAGAATTCTTTTAAGTTTTTTTTATATAACTTATTTATGTGATAGGAACTAATGAATTTTCAGAATTGTTTCTTTTTAATTTTTTAATTTACTTATTTTTGACTGCGCTGGGTCTTTGTTGCTGTTCATGGGTGTTGAGGTGCCTGGGCCTCTCTTTGTGGTGGCTTCTCTTGTTGCAGATCACAGTAATTGTGACCCATGGGCTTAGTCACTCTGTGGCATGTGGAATCTTCTCGAAACAAGGATCAAACCTGTGTCCCCTGCCATTGGCAGGCGTATTCTTAACCACGGGACCACCAGGGAAGTCTCAGAATTGTTTTTTGTGCATATTAGGCTTTATTGTGAGTGACTCAAAAACTGTGCTAAGTTTCCCTTTCCCCCAGCCATATGCTTGTGGTGTCAGAAGGTTCTGGAAGGACAGAGTTAGGCTTCCTCCTCCCCAGTGGGATGGAATGGGGGAACTGACACTGGCTTCCTGCTGCAGCGGGGGCCCCCTGCCCTATGCTCTGACCTTAGGAATGGCTGTTGCGAGTTTCCTCGGGAGCCACGCTGAGCCCCGGGCCATGGGTCAGTGCTGCAGACTCCGTCCTGTACCGGGAGAGCCTAGCAACTCTGCCAAGGTGCCTGGGACACCTATGTGTGCGTCTCCCACTCCGGGGGCAGCCTGTGAACCACGCAGCAGCTCCCACAGGCCATAGTTCTGGCATCAGATAAACCAGGGTTCAAATCCCTGTTCTGTCGCCCACTTTCCTCTCTAGCTGTGTGACCTTGGAAAGCTGTTCACCCTCTCTGGGCTCCAGTTTCTTCACTGTTAAACTGGGATAATCTCTGCAAATTATGCACCCCTGCGCTTTGTGCATTGTTGATGGAGAACGTGTTTTTTTTCCTTCTGTCTCTTTGCCTCCACTGTAACCCCAGCCCCTCCTCCTGCCCATCCCCTCCAGCCTGCCCTGGAGGGGCGGCCTGGGCCACAGTCTTTCCTTTCCTTTTCCTCTCTGGAGCTGGAGTGAGTCGACTGTTATGAACGCACAGTTCATTAGCAGGCAAATGGACAGGTGATACTTCCCGCTGGCAAAATAAGCAGCTTGGGAGCAGGCAAATGTGAGGGCTTAATGCCAGGGTGAGGAGCCGAGGGGCCTGGGGGAGGAAAGAGCAGTTAACATAATCCCAGACAGAGAGATGTGCTCAGAAGCACCTGTCTGACAGCTTTCCCTGCATGGAGACCAAGGGAGGGTCTATGGGGATGTGGTTGAACAAGAAGGCATTTCACATTGTGGGGACCCTCTAGACAGAGTGCAGCTGGGAGGGGGAGGGACTTCAGGGCCTGGGTGTGAACGGGCATGAGGTGGTGTAAAAAAGGGAGCGTGGATCACAGGAAGCAGATTTAAGAGGGGGCTGTCGGACAACCTTCTGTTGATTTGCTTGTGGCTTTTCCACCTGTCCTCCTCTCAAAAGCAAGAGAGACTCAACTTCACCCCTGCAGGAGTGGATCTTTTTCTTTTGTTGTTGTTGGTCAATTGCTCAGTCTGACTCTTTGCGACCCATGGACTGCAGCACGTCAGACTTCCCTTATTTGGCTACACCGGGTCTTAGTTGCAGCACGTGGGATCTAGCTTCCTAATCAGGGATCAAACCTGGGCCCTGTGCATTGGGAGCGTGGAGTCTTAGCCACCAGGGACATCCCAGGAGTGCACCTCTGATAGGACATGATAAGCCAACCCAAGGTGTCAGTTCTGCCCAATGTGACACAGGAGGAACCAGATCCAGCTGGGAGCCCCCCTCCCCTGGAGCAGAGACCCCGATTTCACTCCCTGTCTCTGCCCTGTGCCCCGTCTCCTGGATTCGCGTCACTGGCCCGGTGTATCTGGCCACCTGCTCCCTGGCCGCCCAGCACGGAGGTGACCCTGGTCTGCTTTGCAAGACAAACAGGGGAACAGATGGATGGGGCCTGACGACGGGCTGGGGACAGCTGTCCCAGCTGCCTTCTCCTGTGTGTGTCCCACCACCTGACACTTGTCTGTGAGCTTTAAGGGGGCGGCGGGGGTGGAAGACCCCACAGCAACAGTGAGCAGACGGAGTGTCTTGCCAAGGCCCTCTCTTCATTCAGCTGTAGGGACTGACTTCCTCATCTGCCAAGCCAGGAAATAGGCATGGGTCAGGGGACAAGGCATGAGATAAGGGACAATCTTAGACAAACAGCAAGTCTGCTGGCCCGACTTTCGGTGGCTGGGTCATTTGTTTTTCTTGCCACGATCGTGTCAGGAAGGTGGGATATCACACAGGATACCCGAAGCCCTCAGAGTTTAGTGACTCCAGCTCTTCTGGATGCACTTGTGGAGGATCCAGGGGCAGTTGAAACAAATCATTGGCTCTGCCCATCTCTGTCTCCCCTAAATCCTCCTAGGCTCAGGCAGGTCCTGGCTGGTTATAGTTACCTTTGTCCACATGTGCTTTTGCAATGCACTGGCCTAGGGCAGCCACTGGCAAAATAAGCAGCTTGGGAGCAGGCAAATGTGAGGGCTTAATGCCAGGGTGAGGAGCCGAGGGGCCTGGGGGAGGAAAGAGCAGTTAATATAATCCCAGACAGAGAGATGTGCTCAGAAGCACCTGTCTGACAGCTTTCCCTGCATGGAGACTAAGGGAGGGTCTATGGGGATGTGGTTGAACAAGAAGGCATTTCACATCATGGGGACCCTCTAGACAGAGTGCAGCTGAGAGGGGGAGGGACTTCAGGGCCTGGGTGTGAACGGGCATGAGGTGGTGTAAAAAAGGGAGCGTGGATCACAGGAAGCAGATTTAAGAGGGGGCTGTCGGACAACCTTCTGTTGATTTGCTTGTGGCTTTTCCACCTGTCCTCCTCTCAAAAGCAAGAGAGATTCAACTTCACCCCTGCAGGAGTGGATCTTTTTCTTTTGCTGTTGTTGGTCAATTGCTCAGTCTGACTCTTTGCGACCCATGGACTGCAGCACGTCAGACTTCCCTTATTTGGCTACACCGGGTCTTAGTTGCAGCACGTGGGATCTAGCTTCCTAATCAGGGATCAAACCTGGGCCCTGTGCATTGGGAGCGTGGAGTCTTAGCCACCAGGGACATCCCAGGAGTGCACCTCTGATAGGACATGATAAGCCAACCCAAGGTGTCAGTTCTGCCCAATGTGACACAGGAGGAACCAGATCCAGCTGGGAGCCCCCCTCCCCTGGAGCAGAGACCCCGATCTCACTCCCTGTCTCTGCCCTGCGCCCCGTCTCCTGGATTTGCGTCACTGGCCCGGTGTATCTGGCCACCTGCTCCCTGGCCGCCCAGCACGGAGGTGACCCTGGTCTGCTTTGCAAGACAAACAGGGGAACAGATGGATGGGGCCTGACGACGGGCTGGGGACAGCTGTCCCAGCTGCCTTCTCCTGTGTGTGTCCCACCACCTGACACTTGTCTGTGAGCTTTAAGGGGGCGGCGGGGGTGGAAGACCCCACAGCAACAGTGAGCAGACGGAGTGTCTTGCCAAGGCCCTCTCTTCATTCAGCTGTAGGGACTGACTTCCTCATCTGCCAAGCCAGGAAATAGGCATGGGTCAGGGGACAAGGCATGAGATAAGGGACAATCTTAGACAAACAGCAAGTCTGCTGGCCCGACTTTCGGTGGCTGGGTCATTTGTTTTTCTTGCCACGATCGTGTCAGGAAGGTGGGATATCACACAGGATACCCGAAGCCCTCA